ATATGCCTCTTTATAAAAATATATATCTTTTTAAGAGAGAGAGAGAAACACACCAATAGTGAGAGAGGATCATCATTGGCCACCTTCACGTGCCCCACATTAGGGAGTGAGCCTGCAACCTGGCATCGAACTGTGCCTCTTAAGGTCATTTTTATTGTGACCCCTTTATGTGACTCTAGGTTTTTTCTCATCAGCTGAGTACGTCCTCCTGTGGTAGGACCCCATACACCATAGCACTCAGCACATTGATGTAGTCATTGGTCTACTTCCCCAACCAATGATTCACGTTTTTAAATTCATCTTTCTAACTATGTATCTATCTGTTATCTATCATCATCATCTATGTATATCTATTTCTCTAGCTGTTTTCTTGCCTGCCCAAAGACTGGGCCCTTCCCAGAACTCTGGATTCATATGTCCAAAACATCTACTCAACGTAAACACTTGAATGTCCAATATCCATCTCTAACTGTACAAAACCGAACTCCTAATTACTCAGCCACACATACAACCCATCACACACATCACCCTACTCCAGTGATTTTCAACCTTTTTCATCTCATAGCATACATAATCTAATTACTAAACTTCTGCAGCACACTAAAATATATGTTTTGCTGATCTGATTTTAAAAATTGGTATAATTTTATTTCATTCAAATTGGATTGCTATCATTGTGTAGGTTTTTTTTTTTTTTTTAATTGACCATCTAAATAGTCAGGTATTGCATGTTTTAAAAATTATTTTGACATACCGGTTAAAAATTGCTTCCCGCCGAAACTGGTTTGGCTCAATGGATAGAGCGTCTGAAAGGTCCCGGGTTCGATTCCGGTCAAGGGCATGTACCTTGGTTGCGGGCACATCCCCAGTAGGGGGTGTGCAAGAGGCAGCTGATCGATGACTCTCTGTCATCGATGTTTCTAACTTTCTATCTCTCTCCCTTCCTCTCTGTATAAAATCAATAAAATATATTTTTAAAAAAATAAAAATTGCTTCTCTACTTCAATCCTGGCATTTCTCACATCAATTAATGGCAACCTATCTTGCCATTTATTTAGGCCGAAAACATTGGTGTCATCCTTGATTTTTTCTTCTCTAACTGCTCACATCGAATCTATCTATATATTGATATATCCTATAGTCTTTACCTTCAAAAAGAATCCAGCATCTAAACACTTCCAATCTCCTCTACTACTCCCATCACTGGAGTAACCTCATAGCTAACCTCCCTGCTTCTACCCAGGTCTATACACTCAACCCTCTATTAGCACCGCAGCCCAAGTGATCCTTTTAAATAGAAGTCAGACCCTAGCTGCTTTGGCTCAGTGGTTAAAGTGGCAGCCCAAGGACAACCAGGGTCTTGGATCCGATTCTTGGTCAAGGGTGGGTTCGATTCCTGGACAAGGGCACCAACCTCAGTTGCAGGTTCCCTCATCCCAGCAGAACCATGTGCAAGAGGCAACCAATTGATGTTTCTCTCTTTTCTTCTTCTTCCTCCTTTCCATTTCTCTCCAGAAATCAATAGAAAAAATATCCTTAAGTGAGGATTAAAAAAAAAAATAAAAAAATGTATACCTGTGTTATTTTAAAATTAAGAATAAAATAAGTCAGATATAAGCAGATCCTCTGATAACTCCCCCATTTACTCAGAGTCCATATCTTTGCAATGACCTTCTAGGCCTTACCTCATCTGCATCCTTTACCACTCTGACCTCATACTCTAGTACTTTATCCCTTGACTAGAGCAGCGTTTTTCAACCGCTGTTCCGTGGCACACTAGTGTGCCGCGAGATGTTGCCTGGTGTGCCGTAGGTGCAGACAAGACAAGAATTTTATAATTTTTCACTATTTTGTTTACTTAATATTTCATAATAAAGTAATTATAAAATACTTTCTTTGTGTTTATTTGATTCCTATTCAAGAGAATTACTTTATATATAGTCAATATAGGCACAGAGTTAAATTTTTTAACATTTTCTAATGGTGGTGTGCCTCGTGATTTTTTTTCATGAAACAAGTGTGCCTTTGCCCAAAAAAGGTTGAAAAACACTGGACTAGAGGACCAGTGCATGAGATTTGTGCACTGGGTGGAGGGTGGGGGAGCTCAGCCTGGCCTGCACCCTCCCGCAGTCTGGGACTCTTGGGGGATGTCCACCCACCTGCAGCAGAGGCAGGAGAGGCTCCTGCCACCACAGCTGGGCTCAGGTGAGCCTGGCTTCTGGCCGAGCGGTGATCCCTGTGTTGAGAGTCTGCCACCTGGTGGTCAGTGCACATCATAGTAACAGGTAATTCTGCCATTTCATATTACTCTTTCATTATATAGAATTATTCTGCTTCAATTTCACTGCCCTTGCTCCTTAGAATAGGTTAGGCCCATGGTCAGCAAACTGCAGCTCAAGAGCCACATGCAGCTCTTTGGCCCCTTGAGTGTGGCTCTTCCACAAAATACCATGGCCTAGGCAAGTCTATTTTGAAGAAGTGGCATTAGAAGTTTAAAAAATTTGGCTCTCAAAAGAAATTTTAATCGTTGGCTCTGTTGACTAATGAGTATGCAGACCACTAGATTAGGCATGCTCCAGCCTCCAGACATGTGCATTAGCTATATTTAACTGAGTCCTCTTCCTCAGTTATCCATGTGGTTTACTTTCTCCCTCTAGCCATGTTCATATGTTGATGGCCTAGAAACACCTGAATCCCCTATTTATTTTATTAATTTTTAAAAATATATTTTATTGATTTTTTTACAGAGAGGAAGAGAGAGGGACAGAGTGCTAGAAACATCGATGAGAGAGAATCATCAATTAGCTGCCTCTTGTACACCCCCAACCGGGGACATGCCCACAACCAAGGTACATGCCCTTAACTGGAATCAAACCTGGGACCCTTCAGTCCGCAGGCTGATGTTCTATCCACTGAGCCAAACCGGTTTTGGCTGAATCCCCTATTTAAACTGTATCCCACGTATATCTTCCCCAACATTCTTACCCTGATTTTTTTTGCATATATGTTGTCATCTTAGTCTACATACTCTATTTTTTACTTATGCTTCTTTTTGTCTCCCTTTCTAATGCACCACCAATGAAAGCTCACTGTTTTGTTCACTGCTGTATTCCCAGTGCCCACAAGTGCTTGGCATAGAATAAGCTCTCATATTAGTTAAGGAAATGAAAAAATAAATTATTGAATGTCATTCATTCTCCCACTCGCCAACCTCATTCTGAATCTTCAACCATTTTAATATACTCTTGATTATTGCAGGTACTTCTGGAGCAAGTCACTGTTTTTTTATATGGTATGCCCATTAGTTTGACACCATGCCTTTGCTTATGCTGTACTCAGCCTGGGGAACCTCTCTACCCCCACCTCCTTGCTGGCTAACTTCTGCTCATTCTTTGAAACTCAATCTATGCGTCGTGTCTTCCAGGAAAATTTCCAAGCCTAGGTTAAGTGTCCTCTGTGTCTGTCACATTTCTTTTTCAAAATACAATTTTAATTTTTCAATTACAGTTGTCATACAATATTACATTAATTTCAGGTCTATAACCCAGTGGTTAGACATTATATAACTTAGGAAGGGATCACTCTGATAAATCTAGTACCCATCTGATACTACACATATTTATTACAATATTATTGACTATATTCCCTATGCTATACTTTATATCTCCCTGTCACTTATTTATCTAAACAGCCTTTAGTGACTTTTTAAAAATATATATTTTTATTGATTACAGATAGGAAGGGAGAGGAAGAGAGAGACAGAAGCACCAATGATGAGAGATAATCATTGATTGGCTGCCTCCTACAAGCCTCACACTGGGGATTGAGCCTGCAACCTGGGCATATGCCCTGAACAGGAATCAAACTGTGACCTCCTGACTCAACCACTGAGCCAGGCTGGCTGGGCTTTTAGTGACTTTTTACCTAACTGTCTCCTCTATGATTCCATGAGCGCCTTTGGAGGGCCTGTGTGCTCTTCACTGTTATGTCCCTAGGGTCTGGCATAGTACCTAGCATAGAAAGTACTCAGATATTTGAATTGTTGAATGAAAAATTCAGCTAAAAGTCATTTTATTGTGACCCTTTTGAGGAACTTCTCATCAACTGTTCTTCATTTTAGGAGGCACTCACTCATGCAACTGAAAGGCAATGAGGGTCAAATAGGCAACAGGCTATAGCAGGTTCCCAGATGGAAACCTTAAGGAGTTAATCGACAACAACAGGGCACAGAGAGGGAAGGGGCTATCATTTACTTTTGACATCTGTCATATTAGCTTTGTGCTTTTGATAAACACAAAGCACCTCGCCGAGGATGGTGCACACTCCTCTAAAAACCTTCTCCAGGTTCTGGATAGACAGAAGTTATCCATACATTGTGTCTGTGGGCCAAACATGCACTGGATTCCTGGCCACTACTTCCTATGCTGTCTTCATGTTCACATTGCTCCTCTGGGGCCTAAAGACACTATCAGAAGAAATTCAAGCCTGATCTTTGGCTTCAATGCACCTTAGAGAAGGGTCTTCCTTTTCTGCTCAGGTCCCTTTCTTTTCTTTCTTCCTTTCTTTCTTTCTTTCTTCCTTTCTTTCTTTCTTTCTTTCTTTCTTTCTTTCTTTCTTTCTTTCTTTTTTTTTTAATATATTTTATTGATTTTGTACAAAGAGGAAGGGAGAGAGATAGAGAGTTAGAAACATCGATGAGAGAGAGTCATCGATCAGCTGCCTCTTGCACAACCCCTACTGGGGATATGCCCGCAACCAAGGTACATGCCCTTGACCGGAATCGAACCCGGGACTTTCAATCCCCAAGCCTACGCTCTATCCATTGAGCCAAACCGGTTTTGGCAGGTCCCTTTCTCTGTAGTTCAGGGTGGAGCTGAGTTACATGGAATGCTAATCCATCTGAAATACGAATTTAAGCTCTTATACCATAGTGGAAGTGCTATCTACCTCCTCTACTCTCTTCAATACTTATCACATTGAAAATAAGGAGGCAAAAACAGGTTTTAGTGTATATTTGGAAAAGGTACTGCCTCACCTGTACATAAATGGAAATGGTGACAGCCTTTCTCAGGGCTGTGAAGAGGTTTTGGAAACTCCGGAGCTCCTTTTCCCCCAGAATGGGTTTTCTCCCTGTATAGACTTCTGTACAGGTGAGAGTTGCAATCTGGGATGGATCTTCGGTTGAGTAGCACAAGTCAGATGAGGATAGTGCTTAGATCGGTTGTGGGAAAGGCACTGGGACCAGGAGTGGCCAGGCTCAAAGGGGTGTTGCTGGAGTTCGTTGTCTAGGCACTGGTGGGCATCAAAGAAGGTGATGTTCTTGTACATGCTTCACATGGCTTCTGGTGGAGGGTGGACTCTTCTCAACCTTTTTGGTCGTGGTTTTGGCCACTAGCTCATCCTTATAAAGGAGAATGGGTTCTTTACGCCTTTGATCTTTCACGTTGGATTTAATCCAGTGTGGAAAATGCTTCGTCTTACTTCCCAAGCCAGCTTCTGCAGCTTCTGGAAGGGTAGGGCTCTTGTGAGTATGAGTTGCCTTTACCAGACCCTAAAGTTCCTGACCCTAGAAAGTGTGACCCTGAAAATTTTCTTTCTGAAAAGTATGGATCTGAAAAATGTGGGCCCCTTCAAATGCTGGACTTGTAAAACTTGACCGAGTGAATTGTGGTCCAGTAAGTTGATCCTGTAAGGTCAGGCCATTTCAGCTCTGGGCATTCCAGATCTGGCATTCTCAGGAATCCTTATTTGGATGAGGTCATTTGGCTTGCTCTACCAGCCCTACAGACCATTCTTATGTGGACATTCTGCCCCAAGAAATCCTGGAGGACAGTCTAAGAGCTCAAGGAGAGGAAGAAGCTGGTGAATGTGCTAACAAGGAGTAGTAAGTGAAAGGATGGAGATGGTGACCCTATAGATCCAGACTTGTCATTGCTAGTCCCTACTCACTCAAGGCAACCATCTTGGTCAAACTAAAATTCTATTTGAGAAAGATCCTGGAGATGCATTTGGGAAGTCAGGGGCTCTGGTGTCCGACTTAGAAGTGTCCCTATTTAACCTTGAATTTTGGCACAGCAGATGTCCTGGTTGGGGAGCCTCCGTATTGCACTCTCTTCTCTGTAATTCTCTGCTGTGTGTGTGTGTTGTTGTTGTTGTTTTAATATTACTTTTTTTAAATATCTATTTTATTGATTTTCTTACAGAGAGGAGAGGAATAGAGAGTTAGAAACATCGATGAGAGGAATCATCAACCAGTTGCCAAGGTACATGCCCTTGACCAGAATCGAACCCGGGACCCTTGAGTCCGCAGGCTGCAGGCCGACGCTCTATCCACTGAACCAAACCGGTTTCATCTCTCTGCTGTTTTGAGTTTCCCTGGATCATCTATTTTATCTGCTGGAGTAGGGAGTTGTCTTTATCTTGTAGAGACCTGGGGCTAAGGAGCCTAGGTCTCCTCCTGGCTGAGGTTATTCACACTGGCCTCCAACTGAACACAAAGCACCTGAATTTCTGTCATGTCCCCACTGGGTTGTGAGATCTTGAAGGCCCAGTGAGCAGAGCCATAAGGACTGCTCTGGAATTAGCTTGCTTTTGGTTCTGTGCAAGCTAATTAGTTTAGTTTATTTGCAAGCTCTTCTTTAGAGTGGACCCTTCTGGAGCACATGGGATGCCTGGTGGGATGGGGAGCTTCTGGGGCAATGTTTTCCCTTGGTTGTTTAGACTCCTAAAGGACTCCTTGGCACAGCTCTTTCTGGAGATAGCCACAGTTCCTTTCCTGGACTCCTTTGTCATTATGAAATGTCCCAAATGTATTTCCATGAATTTCTTTTTAAGGAAAAAATTTAGTTTGGCCAAGACGGGTGTATTGAGTGAACAGGGTTCTAGGATCTGTCTGGCTACCTAGAGGCTCCATATCCATTCACCTGTACTTCAGTCTGGAATGCTCGAGCACTGTCTGCACAAGTTTCATGGCATCCTGAAAGCATGGCCAAGGACTTATACATTACCATTTACATGAGATTTAGTCAGAGGCTCTATTGGACCCCCAACAAACCCAGGCTCCATCTCTGTGCTTGCTGATTGGCTACTGATTGCTGGGGCCATGACCTTGGAGAAAGCCATATAGTAAAGAGACAACACCCCTGACAGAAAGGCCAAAACTTATCTCACTGACTCAGTTTCTCGGGGACTCACTACAAAGATACCCAGCCAGGTGCCAATCAGGGTGATCAGTGACAGCATCTGGTGAAGTTTGTTGCTGCTGGTCAAGACCCGTCAGTATTTAGGGTGTTATTTCCTGATTCATCTAAGGTAGGGGTGTCGAACTCAATCAGAGAAGGGGCCAAAATCTAAAATCCAGCCTAAATCGCGGGCCGAATGGTTTACTGAACAGTCATAAACTGTCATTGTGATGGAAACGCAGCGGAGTGCAGTGATGACAGCGCGGTGCGGGCCACATTGCAAGGCCTGGTGGGACGGATTTGGCCCGCTGGCCTTGTGTTTGACACATGTGATCTAAGGGTTGATTGCTGCCTCCACACAGGAGTTTATTTTCTGGGGTGTAAGGGAACAAAGTTGCTTCCAGGGCCCCTGAAATGCTACAGACCCAGTGATTTACAGTCTCCCCAGTGCAGACATGGGCAGGGACAATACCTCAGTAGATCTCCCTCATTTGGAGTCTGGCTCTGCAACATTGCCTTGGCCAAGGCAAACAACTGTGAACTGGTCCTATTGCCACAATGTATTAGAACAGGTCCCTGTCCCCACTGGCTTCTAGGTCTGCAGACTAGGGGACACTCACACTAGTTAGTGTGCTGCTCCAGGGAAAGGGCTGCTGGTCATCAGGGGACAGAAGAAACCAGATGGACTGTTGGGTCTTCTGGTGCAGGCCCTAGCAATGGTGAATTGACCTGCTAAACTGACCCCTTCTGAAGGTGGAACTCTAGCAGCTCTTGGGCCTGCTCCAGGAAAACACTGCCTGCCTCTTCCTGACTGAAATAGGCTTCCCCAACAGGCAGGCCCCTGAGTCTCAGGAGACCAGTTGCTTAACATGTGTCAGGGCTTATATTGCAAGGTTCTGAGATCTCTGAGCAACAGCTGGCAAGTCACACCAAAGCTGGAACTTCCTTTGCAATGGGCCACTCCAAGGCTTCACAATTGGCCAGAGTTGGAAGTAGGACATTGATAGGGGCTTGTTGATAGTAAGATGGAGAAGCCCAAATTCAGAAATGTGGGAAGAAGGTAGAGCTAACCAACAGTAGAGATTAAGGAGAAATTGAAGAAAAAGGGACTGGGGACTCCCCTTTTGTGGAGAGATCCCCAGGGATGGACCAGGGACTGTGCAAAAAAGAGGAACCATACAAAAACAGTTGTGCTTATGCTGCAGTTAATACACTGAGTCCTCAGTGTGTTGCTGAGGTAATGAACAGAGACCACTTAGTAACCAAAGAGTGAGTCATGGAGTTTGGGATTTGCTTGCAGTGATATTTGCTCTAGATCCATAGTGGATCCTCCAAAAACCCAGAAAGTCTGGGTGGACTGGCTGACCTCCCATGACCCCAGGGGCCCTGGAAGCAACTTGGTTCTTTTACACCCTAAAAAGTTAGCCCCTTTGTGGAGACAGCAATAAGCCCTTACATGGATCAGGAACTGACACCCTGAATACTGACAGGTCTTGACCAGCAGCAACAAATCTCACCAGATGCTGTCACTGATCACCTGCTGAGTCAGTGAGACAAAGAAGGCCTTAGAGGCAGCATTCTGATGAAAGAAAAGGTTGTTTTCTCCCTCCATGCATGGAAACTATTCAGGCAGCGTGATATAAGCTGCCACGGGGCCTCTTCCGCACCATCTTGGAAGCCCTCAGCTACAGAAATACCTGAATTTATCTCTCTGTATTTAAAGATGCCTCACACCTTTTGTGACACAGGAACAACAGGTGAAGGGAATGCAAGGCCATGGGGGTATTTTAGGTTTGTGAGCTTTGGGTTCAGGGAAGGAAAAGGTACTCAAGGGCTGCTGACCTTGTTTCTCTGAGGCACAGTCGGTGTTGCTCTTCTTGATCTGTTGGTCCACAGGAATCCTGCACTCCTTAAGGCTTAAAGAAGACGGGTCTCTTGCATCCCAGAACACATCCGGTGCTTGGAATTCCTGCCTTAGTTGGTGGTCAGCCCAGTAATCTTGGATGCTGATTGCACCAGTTGACTGGGGAGCTGACTGGGTTAAGGATTTGTGATCCTTTAGTTGTGTCTTTGAGGGGGTTACAGGTGGAACTGAAAGCTCTCTGGAGTTCTGGGAACTCTGACTTTGGCCAAAAGACAGATCAGAAATGGACAAAATATCTAGGCAAGAGGAGCCCTGCGATCGCCTCGATGAAGCGGGAGAGATCGGGGTTTTCTCACTGGCCAGCAACTGCTTAATCTCCAGAGCCATAGCATTGCAGACAGGGCAGGAGGGATCTGCACACAGGATCCTCCGCACGCTTCCCTCCTGAGGAAACCAGCTCTGGCTGGAAGAGGAAACATGGCAACTGTTATTGATGGGGTGACAGCTGCCTCTTTGGAAGCTGTGGCCTGAGGATTGGCCCTGCCCTCCGAGTCCTTTACACCCTGGGGCATACACCCCACCCAGTGGTTACTCCCCTACTTTTCTTCCTAGGAAATTGCCACTTGGAAAGTTATTGTGTGCTGGGCTGAGGGTCTGGGGCTTGTTGGGCAAGGTTGCAGACAACCCATGGAGCACAGAGCCATGAGTGACTGAGAGGTGGGGGAGTTCTTTGTTGACCTGGGCTGAGAAGCTGAACCAGAGATGAGAACTAAGGATGAGGGAGCCAATGATTAACTGATGGGGCATCTCCAGGGCTATCACCAGGTAGAACCTGGACTCAGTCTCATTTCAGGCTAAGAAGGCCACGGCCTGGTATTTAGTGTTTCCAAGCTGAGGAAAATGAGGTACTTGTGAGAACTCTAGGGATTCTGATAAGTTGTTGTATCTATAAATAAAATCTCTTGTGAGCCAGTCCCATTCCCTAGGAATTTTAAGAAGAGGACAAAAGGGCAAGCTTCTGGCTGAGGGCTGTTTCAGGAACTGGGCTCCCTGAAGACAGAACCAGAGGAAGTAATATCAGCAGGGCCCAGGGGTCTGCCCTTGAAAGGGTGGAGCTGTAAGAAGATATGACAGTGATGACTTATGTATGCACTTATTTATACATTCTCTTGGCTAAATAACTTGTCTCATGGCTGAGTGCACATCCATATAGAGCCTTTTAGGAATTAAGTGCACGTCAAATTCTGAATTCCAGGAGCACTATGAGCTCAGCCCAGAGCAGAACTAGGACTCCTCCTCCTGAGATATGTGAGGCCTCCCTTGCCCTGGCAAGCCCCTCACCCAGTGCTCCATCCTCTGCTGTGTCTGACTCCCTCCCAGTCATCAGCCCTCTTTTCATCCCTGTCCCAGGCCAAGCAGAGAAACCGTCACAGTTCAGGCTGGAGTGGGAAGACTACAAAGAGCAAATGATCACCTTTTCATGACAGAGAGCAGCTCCCATGGCTTCTCATCTTCTTTGTGGGAATGTTTTCTGGCTGAGAAACCAGGAGACAGTGTTACATGGAATGGGAGAGGAGTCAGGGACATATTCAATACTATAGGAAGCTGAAGGTCAGAGAAACTTTCCACGGGAACCTTGCCCACACTGGAGGGGAGCCAGAGAAGAGACTGGGACTTTACCTCTTGATGTTCTATCTTTAGTCCTTTGTTTGACTCTCCGTTGATGCTAAAAACAAAACAACAAAAAAGTTTGAGTATGAAGCTGGAGCGTACTTTTTTTTCATATCAAAATGAGACAAAACCTGCAAACATTTCCCAACTTTTTTCTGTATACCAATGTTATACATTCTTTTACCTTTCTTTTTCCCTACTCTGCCCTTTTCACCCCATCATTTTCTTTCTCATATTTCTGGTTCATTTTGAGGCACTTCCATACTCCATACTTCCATCCCCATTCCCTGAACAAGTTCTGTGGAGAAATCAGGAGACAGGAGAAAAAAACGGAACAGATTAAAGGATGGATGGTCTAGTAGCCAAGGGACTTTAGCCATCCAAGTCTCTAAGTGCTTACCCACCAGCCCGGCTGGCAGGGCTCAGTGGTTGGTTGAGTATTGACCTATGAGTCAGGAGGTCAAAGTTCAATTCCTGGTCAGGGCACATGCCTGGATTGAGGGCTCAGTCCCCAATGTGGGGTGTGCAGGAGGCAGCCAATCAATGATTCTCTCTCATTGTTGATATTTCTATCTCCCTCTCCCTCTCCTTTCCTCTCTGAAATCAACAAAATATGTTTTTAAAATGCCTACCCACAGCAAGAATTACCCACATTTAGAGCAGTTCTGGGATCCAATAAGGATACCCCTATTTAAAAAGGCAGAGAGTAAGAATACAAGAGAAAATAAGGAAATAAAATCTCATTTGAAGCTTAATCGGTTCAGTCATGGATATAGATTTTCCCTACCTGGCAACCGCTCTTGTTAGGTCCCAACTTCAATCTTGGATGGATCTTTTTCGCTTGCCAAATAATTAATGCAATAATGATGATGGAGCCATAAGTGTATATGGGATATCCTATTTCCCACAGAACAAATGTAGGGTTCAACATGATCTAAACCTAGCCATCCTCTTCTAGACTTTCAAGATCTTAAGACCCAATAAGTCCATATTCTAGGCCTTGTCATCTCCGCCTCACAGAGGATACAACCAGACCAACAGACTACATCACAAAGCCCTCCTGTTTCCCAAGGTATGTGGATCATTACAGACCTTTATCTGTCTAGACAGTGATTTTCAACCTTTTGCATCTCATGGTATGTATAAGCAAGTTGCTAAAATTCTGCAGCACACCAAAAAGTATATATTTTTGCCAATCTGACAAAAAAAAAAAAGAAATCTATAATCTTGATTCATTTACACCAGATGGTTATTGTTGCGTTGCCTGTTGTCATTTTTAAAAAAACTGACAATTTAAGGGAAAAGAGATCAGTGTTCCTGACTAGTCAGATTTGCATGCTTTAAAACTCTCGTGGCACACCAGTTGAAAATCTCTGGTCTAGGAGAAGCTCATGTGATTCAGTATTCAGATGAGAGTATCTGGTTGTCTGTATGGAGTGTAGGGTGTAGGCCTAAAGATGCCAAGGTCACGGGAAGCATATATTTTTTCATGCTCTTTCTATTTCCTATATCCTGATGACTCACTTCGCTCCTTTAAGATGGTAGTTGGACATCTATCCCCGGTAACTGAGTCTTTATGTATGCTGCATTGCCCTGTAAGAGTGAGAGAGTGGCTAGGTCAGAGGAACTCCATAAACAACATCACCTGTAGTGAGAAGATCAAAACAAAACAAAACAAAACAAAACAAACAAACAAAACACCAAGAGGATAGGGCACCAAATGTCTTGTTAAGTCTTGGAAAGTGAGGGTTTTGATGTCACAGGCAATAAATAGGTGGTCAGTATGGAAAAGTTCAGAAAGAATGCTGTGTCTGATGTGGCAAGGAAAAGAAATAAATGCTGTCCTTTTAAATAACTTTCTAAGTTACTAAAAAAGGCACTTTCCACTCTGGCCAAGCTTGAGATGGACAAGGGAGACTGTAAAGTGCCTTAGAGGGAGACACATGAAGGAGGCTTACCTCTGGAGCTTGATGTTCCAGAATGGCCTAACAGATCTTATAACACCCTATTTTATTATTTTTTAAAAATATATTTTTATTGATTTTTTACAGAAAGGAAGGGAGAGGGATAGAGAGTTAGAAACATCAATGAGAGAGAATCATCGATCAGCTGCCTCTTGCACATCCCCCACTGGGGATGTGCCCACAACCAAGGTACATGCCCTTGACCGGAATCGAACCCAGGACCCCTCAGTCTGCAGGCTGACGCTCTATCCACTGAGCCAAACCGGTCTCAGTAAGGTTTTTTTTTTTTTTTTTTTTTTTTTTTTTTTTAAGAACCACAAACTTGTGGCTCTTTGGTTGATTCCATCATGGTTGGAATGTTTGGCTGAATGTGCTATGAAAATCTGAATTTGGACACATTTAGACAGAGCAAGTTTATTCCTGTTCAACTTCAATACCCACCACCCTTCTATCCACTGATTCACATATTAATGTTAACCTTCATGGTCCTTGTTGACAGTGTGATATGCCTCCAACACTCCTGGATTTCTGAATTTCCTTAGGAAGTTCTTGCCCAGCCCTAGCTGGTTTGGCTCAGTGGATAGAATGTCGGCCTGCGGACTGAAGGGTTCTTGGTTGGATTCCGGTCAAGAGCACATGCCCGGGCTGCAGGATTGATTCCTAGTAGGGGTCATGCAAAAGGCAGCCTATCAATGATTCTCTCTTATCACTGATATTTCTGTCTCTCCTTCTCCCGTCCTCTCTGAAATCAATAAAAATATTTTTTTAAATAAGTTCTTGCCCTGATGAGAGTGGTCCTACAGCCCAAATATTCTTAAGCTCAAATCTCTGAAGAGGCTTTTGATCCTGCCTCCAGCATCCAGTCTCCCGCCTAACAAGTGCGGCGAGTATGTCAAAGCACAAAGACATTGAGTTGTATTACCTGCCTGCTCACAAGACACTTAAAAACTCTAGTTTTAAAGACAAGACTAATTCACATGAATCAAGAACTAACCTTACCAGGGGTTTGGGAAGAGGGGAGTAGGGGGGTTGTTATTTAACTAGAGGCTCAGTGCACAAAGTTCTTGCACTGGGGAAGGGGGACCACTCAGCCAGGCCTGCCCACTCTCACCGTCTGGGCTAAGCCTCAGTCTGGCCTCCCTCACAGGAGGTCACCAGCCCATCATGGAAAGGCACCGCCCCCATTACCCCCTCACTGCTGCTGCCTCTGGCCTTCCTCTGCGGAGGCAACTGCTGGTCAGGGGAAGGCGACACCCCCATCACACTGCTGCTGCTGCAGGTCACCCGAGGCTGCCTGAGCCGCGGCCCGGCCCTCACAGCAGCAGCCGCGGCAGCTTTGTCCGGAAGGACGTCCGGAAGACGTCTGGTCTAATGAGCATACTACTTTTTATTAGTATAGATGGGTACAGAGTTTCTGTTTGAAACTATGAAAGAGTTCTGAAAAGGGTAGTGGTGATGGTTGCACAATATATAAATGTACTTAATGACATTGAACTATACACTTAAAATGATTAAAATAGTTCATTTTATGTTAAGTATATTTAACAATAGTTTAAAAAACAAATGCAAACAAATGCATAGGGGGCTTTTTGCTAGCTATAAGGAATAATATTCTGAAAATGATTTGATAAAATATTGGATAAGAGAGTATTTTTCTTGAATATTATTTTTATATAGAACAAAATTTTAAAAATAGATCCTTACATTTCATCCTTGAAGATAGGATGGATTTGAGCCATTTCAACATCTTTTCCGAACTTGCAAGTTCCATAGTACAGGAAAGAGAAGACTTTTTTTAAACCAAAGAGCACTAAATGACAGGTTAACAAAAAATCAATTTAAAAGCAGCTTGCATCAGCTTTTCAGTAGCAGGTCAGGAACCTACAAAGTAGCTTGACTCTTTTTTAAAAATATCTTTTATTAATTTATTATCTGTGTACATATTTTAACATTGCCCCCCCCATACATATCCTCCCTCCCCAGAGTTTTGTGTCCATTGGTTGTACTTATATGCACGTATACAAGTCCTTCGGTTGATCTCTTATCTCCCCCAGATATCTCTACCCTCCCCTCCTGTAATTTGACAGTCTGCTTGTTGCTTTACTGTCTTTATATCTGTCTTTTGGTTCTTCAGTTTATAATGTTCTTTAATACCCATAAATGAGTGAGGTCATGTGGTATTTCTCTTTCAGTGACTGGCTTATTTCACTCAGCATGATGTTCTCTAATTCTATCCAGGTTGCTGCAAATGATGAGAATTCCTTCTTTTTTTATGGCAGCATAGTATTCCATTGTGTAGATGTACCATAGTTTTTTTATCCAATCATCTGCTGATGGGCACCTAGGCTGTTTCCAGATTCTAGCTATTGTAGATTGTGCTGCTATGAACATAGGGGTGCATATATCCTTTCTGATTGGTGTTTCTAGTTTCCTGGGATATATTCCTAGGAGTGGGATTACTGGGTCAAATGGGAATTCCATTTTCAGTTTTTTGAGGAAACTCCACACTGTTCTCCACAGTGGTTGTACCAGTCTGCATTCCCACCAGCAGTGCATGAGGGTTCCTTTTTCTCCGCAACCTAGCCAACACTTGTCGTTTGTTGATTTGCTGATGTTGGCTATTCTGACAGGTGTGAGATGGTATCGCATTGTTTTGATTTGCATCTCGTAGCTTGACTCTTTTTAAAAAAATATATATATATTTTTTATTGATTTCAGAGAGGAAGGAAGTGGAAGAGAGAGAGAGATAGAAACATCAATGATAAGAGAGAATCACTGATTGGCTGCCTCCTGCACGCCCTGCACTGGGGATCGAGCCCACAACCGGACATGGGTGCTTACTGGGAATGGAACCGTGAGCTCCTAGCTCAACCTTATGGAAGCCATGCTGGCCGGGCTAGTTTGACTCTTACGTTCCTTTTACGATTACTACCCAACCTGGTCCTGCTTCCTGCAGCTGCTCCTTCTCTCTCTGGGGCCGCAGTAGTTCTGCCTCCCATGAACCGGGTCCAGTGTGGTGCTGTGTGGTATTTGGTGTCCTCCTCCTCTGGTCTCTGAACATATGTGCTTAATAAGCCGCTATCAACCTCATAGGTCCAGTGCCAGTGTCGTGCGTTCAGCCATCCCCAGGGCTCTAGAGTGGGACGCTCTCCCTCACCAATGGGCTGTAGAGGAGGTAAACAGAATACCATGGATCCTACCAATCAGCTCTTGCTTCCAGCAACTGCTGCCTCCTTTTAACTGCAATTGCATTTGCTACATTAGCCCCACCCCTTGCTCCAGGCAAAATCATCAAATTCTGCAAACTTCACACCTGCTACAACCAGAGCGCTTACCTATGGGTACTTTTAATCCACTCCAGTGTCTCCCAAACTTCTCTCAGGATGAGAATCACCTGGTGGAGTTGTTAAACTACAGATTCCTGAACCCCAACTAAGAAGTGCTAAACTAGAATTTTGGGGAACATATCGGTAAAAGTGTATACTCTAAGCTTAGAGCACTAGTTAAGTATACAATTTTACCTCTATGTTCCCCAAAATTCTAGTTTAGCACTTCTTAGTTGGGATTCAGGAATCTGTAGTTTAACAACTCCACCAGGTGATTCTCATCATGAGAGAAGTTTGGGAGACACTGCAAGCCATTAAAACCATCTGCTGGAATCTCTCCAGCACCTCACCAGCCCTTGCTTCTCTGTCTCAGAGCTGTGGAGCTAGAATCAAAGATAATCTTATGCCTTTTTCAGAATTGGCCTTCAGTGAAAGTTTACTTATTGGTTTGGTTCTTGTGGACAAAGGGTGCTTGCGTGGACAGTGGAACCATTGCCTTTTAAACAAGGCACATTCGTGTAGTGAAAGCCCTGTCTGTCACTTTTAATGATGTGGGTGTGGATCTTCACTTTTGCTCTTCCCGACTCATGGTTCCTAGTGAACAGCAAACACTGGAGGTGAAGTACAGGAAAAGTCTCTGA